ACGATAGGTAAAAAAAGATGGCCTTATAGGATCCATAGTTGCTTGTTAGCCAAGATATCCTCTCATACTCGTATTGCTAACACTAATGGAACCGTCTGCCATATTGCAGGCCACAATAAGACACTTTTTAACGGCTTCATGGTTGGCATTGGAATGGAACGGAATGTGTGAGAATGAAGGAATGTGTGAGAATGGTTGCGAAATTCAAAGAATGAAGACAGGAAAATATGTGTTCGAGGAGGTCCTCATCGTGTTCTCCCCACCCACGAGACGGGGATGGGTAAAATTAGGCGTCGAAACCAGTGTCTGTTCACAAAGGCTGGACCAGTGTCGATCTTTGCTTGCAAGTCCTACATTCCTGCTACCACCGTTGGCCAAATTGCGGTCGAAAGATTGTGGAGTGGCGAGGAAGACGTGTGTTTAAGTATCTCATTCCAGTGGGCTTGTCCATAGGTAACGGCCTCACTTCTTGTTACTCTAATGTGCGCAAACGAAACGAAACGCTTTGCTACTGCATTCTGTAATATTTGGTAGCGAATTGCTCACTGTTTAAATAGCATGCTTATTTAATGAAGAATTGCTTGTTTATTTGGTTTTTAGGTGGCCGAAGGGGAACCTCAAGCCGAGTATTCCCAACACTTTTGTAGCGTGCGATCAAAGCCAGGGAAGCTCAATTGTTATGTACATGAGCGCGAAGTAATGCCATTGGGAGGGCCTCAATTTGACAGTGTCCCAAAATTTTCAGTTGCAACTAAATAGCTATGCATTGCATTATGACCGTGTTTGATGAGCTGCTAAATCAGCTTATTCTCGAAAATGCATGCCAGACCACAAGGGAATCCGTTGGAGCTATGGAACACTGCCACAATATCTAGTGTCAACTTCACTCGATGGAAGAGGTTCAAAAATTTGTCCGTAAGTCCTGCATGAAGTGATTCTTCATTGGACGTAAAGGGTCGGAGTGTGGACACTGCTTTCGGTCTCAAGCAGGTAACGTTTTGCGACGTGACGTAGTGGACTCATTCACCCTTCTAGGATGTCCTCCTGAGCGACCACTTTTCAATTTCTTGCTCCTGTACCTTGACCAGTTTGGCCACGCCGTCGCGCGCACTATGTGGGGATCCCTTTGCATAGCTTGCCACCTTGACCTGATATCACTATCACTATAATATCACTCACCTTGAACTTTGCACACTTTTCCTCATTTTTGATGGGATAGAGCCTGCATCTGCTAGACTGTCAATTTTATTTAATTTTTCCGCTTCACACGGGCAATATCCCCCTCGGGCCGAAATTATTAGGCGTATCCTATGCATGTATGCTGCTGTTAGTATGGCTAAAGGAAAAAGCTCACACACTGAGTCCTTAATACCTTGGCGGTATATTTGTATGAAATGTTAGGAAATGTAGGTGAAGATGTCAGCGAAATAATTAAGCTCAACAATTATTAGTAATAGTTTTTTCGGCTGACGCTTTGACGTCGTCGCCTTCGTCAGAGCCTGAAAAGACAAAAGACTCTGTCGAAACTACTTGTCCCACACTACTTCAACCTACAGAGAAAGTTCATAGGGGTCGTAAACTACTATGATTACCACTTGGAAACTGTAAGAACCGACCTTTCAGGAATGGCTACCGATGAAGTCCGCCTGCCCCGTTAACACGAAAATGTCTGAATGTGCAAGCCTCCAGGTCACTTTTTAAGGGAACTTCCAAAGGG